AGATGCACAGAGAGTAAATGAAAGGAAATGAATGTAAGAGGGAAAAAAGTGGAAAGGGGAATACAGAAAAGGAGAGGAAAAATGGTAGGAAAAAGTCCCCAATCCCCCCCAAACCCAGTGAAGTGTTGCTGGCGGAGACAGGCCTGACTCTCCTGACAATGCAGATGGTTGTGGAAAAATCAGAGACAGAAAGCCTTGAAGCAAAGTTGTATTTTTTTTCAGCAAGCATGCGAGTGTGCATCTGTCTTCTCTCAGACAGGCAGGGGTGCCTGAAATGGAGCCACCAATGAAGGGGGGCTCAAGATGTTGATTTTATAGTAATCGGGGGTCTATCCTGTCTCTGGGCTAAGGGCGACCCCACTTGATTGGTTAATTGGTTGACTTACTAGGGACAACAGGGAAGGATCTTTTGGGGCCTGTTACTCCTTAGGGTCAAGGTTTTTTTTCCTTTTGATCTTACCAAATCAAGCTTTGTAGGGTACAGCGTGAAGAGGAGGTGCAATTGCAGACTGTCAGCTTTTCATGGGTGATTAAGCCTGTTCTGCCAACTATCTGAACTCCTTCACTGGGGGCCTCCCCTCATGTCTCCCAGCCTACAGGTCTCTATCCCTACAGAAGGAAAGATAAAAATAATAAAAATTGAAAAATTAAAAAAAGATCAAGCCAGGGAGTAGTTTCCTCCCAAAATCTGTGCTTTGGGATCCAGCCAGTCTCAGTTTTCCCTGCCTAGCTTTAAGGTGTGTGGGATTTTGAGATACCCTCCCTGCATCAGAGGCCCTTCTGTCCATTTACCCCAGATTGTGGTTACCATCCAAATCCAGGCATGTTCTTTGTCCCATTTGTAGATGGGAAGCAAGCTAAGCCCTCTGTCCTCTGCTGGATGTAGCCTGCAGGGCAGGGCTTCAAATGGACTGTTGGACTTGATGTTCATTAGTTATTGGTTCTGGTTGCTCCCTACTCTCCCTCAGTGTTGTCCTCATTCAGGATCAGGTCAGTTGGTTAGTACTCATCTCTGCCTCCCTGTGCCAAGGGGAAGCAAAATGTAGAGCCATCTTGGAGTTGGTGGATGGTCTCACTCGTGTCAGGGCAGGGACACTGTAAGTCTGTTGCAGACCTGCTTGCTTGTATCACTGAGAGGTGTCCTATGTGAGCTTGCTTGCTAACATGGCACAGAGGCCTACTTGGCTCATGTGGGGTGGGGTACCCCATGTCTGGCATGGGCCTGCTTGCTCACTAACATTTAGGGAAGAGTGCCAAATGTCTGGTGCAGGCCTGCTTACTTATAGAAGGGGGAAGGTTGTACATCTCACATGGGCCTGCTTGCTCACAGTGGGGGAAGTGCTGCTCCTCTGGTACAGGCTTACTTGCTTGCATCAGGGAGAGTCCACTTTCTGAAGCATTTCTGGAAGTCCTCTTTTGTGAGTGCTTTTATGAGGTTTGATAAAAAATACAGTAAATTCTACTACCAAGCACCATCCACTGCAAAGCAGGATTGTAAAAACATTATGGTGTGTTCTAATCCATCTTATGCACCAAATCGGGCAGGGTAAGACTTCTGGCTTATCCCTGAAGTCAAAACGTTTTCAATTAATTCAGGAAATTAAGGCAGCCATGACAATGCAAGTAAAGAGATGAAAGAGAACTTTTAGAACTGCTTCAGAAGTGACAAGAACAATGGGATAAGTACGTTTGAAGTGCAGGGGGTATATTGAGGGGTATTAGTGGCAATGTGGCTTTTATTGTAATAAATTAAGAAAATTTTAAACATTCACCATATTCAGACGACATCTCACATATAACTACCATCTCTACATTTTCCCTTCCAGGCCCTAAGGTTTCTCTCCTTCCCAAAGATAAACATCATTGAGTTTGCCCAGTTTTTGCCTTTACATACGTAAATCACAGAATGTATATTCTTTTGTTTGTCCTCATTTAATCACATTGTTTATAAGAGTTACCTATTTTCTTGTGGAAAGTTTCCATTGAACAGCTGATAAACTTTGGATTGATTTCAGTAATTGACTATTATGAATAATGCTTTCTGATCTTGCACATATCTTGATATATATGTTTGCACATTTTTTGCTTTTTTTGTTTTTGGTTTATTGAGACAGTGTCTTGGTTTATAGTACAAGGCTTTTGAACCTACTGTATAGCCCAGGCTGACCTCTTGTGGTAATCTTCCCGCATCAGTTTACCAAGTGCTGAGATTAGAGGCATTTGCCACCCCACTTGGCATGTTCATAGATTTCTGTTGTTGGCTGTATATACATAGTGAACTTCCTGGGTCATAGACACCTTTGCTAAATAATACTGGAAGTTCAAGATGGTTGTTTATATTTCTACCACAGAATTCCAGTTGTTCTATTTCTTTGTCATCACTTAGTATGACCAGTCTTTAATTTTAGTGATTCTCTGTGTGCAGTGTGGTTTCTGATGGTTTCAAGCAACTTTTAATCGGCCATTTGGATATCCTTAAGTCTTCCCTTTTTATGTTCCATACTAATTTGTAGGAATTGTTACAGAGATGTCTTTTGTCCATTATATGTATTACAATTATCTTCTGTTATGTTCCTAATGAAATCTTTGATATATACTTGGCAGGATGTCTGATAGAATTTTAATATAGCCCAATTTATTATTTCTATTGCTTTCTGTTGTGATTTTGAAATCTTTATGTACTCTAAGTCATGAAGCACTTTCTCATAATTTTCTGTGCTCCTGAAACTGAACACTATGTGTTGTTAGTTTTGTTTACTCCTTTCTTTCTTTTTATTTATTTATTTTTGATACTGGGGATCAAACTCGAGCCCTTGTGCTTGTGAGGCAGGCACTGGAACCACTGAGAGAAATCACCTGCCCTGTTTACTCCTTTCTAATCCTCATTTTACTTTTTTTTTTCTTGCCTAATTGCATTGGCTGATTCCGTCAGTACTGTGACAAATATGAGTAGTGATGGGTAATGCTCTGATCTTGTTTTTATTCTCAGAGGACAAGCTTTTAGCATTTCACAGTGAAGTGTGATGCTTGTTCTCTTCAGGTTTGCATAATTAGATTTTTATTAGATTAAGTAATTTCTTGGAGCCGGGGATTTAGCTCTGTGGTGCTACCTCTTGCCTCACAAGTGCAAGGACCCGAGTTCGATCCCCAGTACCGGGGCAGGGGGGAGGGGGAATAATTTATCTTATAATCCCAGTTTGCCAAAAGTTTTTAATTACAACTGATACCATATTTTAGCAAATGCTTTTCCTGCATTATTTATATATATTTTTGCCTTCATTTTCTTATCATGGTAAATATTTTACTTTAAAAACTTGAGATATAATTCATACACCACATAGTTCATCATCTTAAAGTATATAATTCAATACTTTTTTGGGGGTACATTTACAAAATTGTACAACAGGGACTAGGAATGCAGCTTAGTGGTACAGTGTTTATTTTGCATATATGAGACTTTGAGTTTGAGCCCCAGCATCACCAAAAAATAAAAATAAATTGTGCCACCATTACAACTAACAGTACATTTTCATTGCTAAAATGAAATAGTATACTTTTTAGCAATCACTCTTAATTTCTACCTTCTCCCAACCCCTGGCAACCTGTAGTCTAGTTCCTGTCCATGGATTTGCCGCTTTTGTTTCTTTTTCTTTCTTTCTTTTTTTGGTACCGGGGATTGAACTCTGGTCCTTGTGCTTGCAAGGTAGGTGGTAGAACCACTGAGCTAACTCCCTGGCCTGGATTTGCCTCTTCTGGTCATTTTATATAAATGGGACTATACAATATGTGACATTTTGAGACTAGCTTCTTTCATGTAGTATGTTTCAAAGTTTATATGTTTGTGGCATAAATCAGGACTTTGTTTCCTTTTACGGATGAATTTCACATTTTATCTTCTCATCAGATGAGCCATTTGAATTTTCTTTTTTATTGCTTTGAACATTCACAAACAAATTTTTATGTAGATGCAAGTTTGAATCAGATTCCTCTGAACTAATAATTCTAATCTTAAAAATTTTGCTATAGTAGCAGTAGTTGCAAAAAGATGATGTTAGTTAATATCCTTCCTGTGTTTGCTTTATTTTCTCCATTTTATTTTTATTATCTATCCTTAATCCCTTAAAATTCAGAGTACATGCCTAATGAGAGATTATGGAATTTGGTTGACTTTCTGGGCAGGTGGAAAGCTGAAAGATCATACTGTTTTAATTCCCTTGGCCTTTGTTTATTTTGTTTCTTTCTGGAATGCTTTTCCCCATCTCTGCCTAGCTAATTCCTATTCATACTTCCTGACTTCTTTCAGGTATTATCTTCTGTATAAAGAAAGGTGACTTATTGTTACCTTTATCTGTGTTTTGAGCATGGATCATTCTTCCCACTAACAGATTTCTTTAAATTCCCTGACAGTCTTTTCAGCTATGAAACGGAGACAGTTCCTGCTGTCAAGTTTCTAGGTTTGCTGTGAGAAACTAGTGAGATAGGGACTGTGAAGGGCTATGCACATGTGAGGGAAGCGGTTGTTTCTTCAGTAGCTCTGGGATTGCATGGCTTCTCTTCCATTTCTGTCATACATTACTGCCTTAGGAACCCTGTGTCCTGCTGGTGGTTCCCTGCCTATATTAGGGGAGTACTCAGCCTAAATTGCACAGCACCCCACCTACATCTGTCAGCTATGTTTTCCCTTTCTTCCTACTTGCCTCTTTTTTAGCCCAGCCCTTCCTGTTTACAGGTCTGGTTTATGTTAAACTGTTACTTCAGTCAGTAGTTGTTTCCTTTCAAATCGGTCAGAAGAGATGGGAGTATAATGAAGAGTACAAGGCTTAATCAAATCAATCAGAAAGGATGAGGATATAATAAAGAATGCAAGTCTTACCAGAATGTAAGCTAAGTAAGCTCTGTGCTGGATTCTGTTTGAGAAGGTCCACAGTAAAAATGATTTAGTTAGCCTATACTTTCATGTCCTTCTTGTTAAAAATTTCTCTTCTCTATTTCTCTTGCAGCAAATAAAAAGAAGGAGAAGGAGAGGCCAGAAATTTCTCTTCCTTCAGATTTTGAGCACACAATTCATGTTGGTTTTGATGCGGTCACAGGGGAGTTTACGGTAAGTTCTGGGTCACAGAAATGTCTTTGGTCTTTTAGAGTTATGGGCTGTTAGAGTCAGTCCTTTCTCATCTTCTTAGTTTTGTCATCTGAGACCTTTATTATTACCTTCTTCATGAGAGGAACACCTTCCTAATCTCTAAAATTGTACCCAAGGAAACCTTTCAATCTCCATTCCTTAAATAAACTTCTGTTAAGGGACCCCATGATAGCATGATCACAGGTTATGTATGGGGCACTGATGATACAGGAACAAGTCAGACGTCCCTGCTCTAAAGAAACTAGTCTGGTGAAGTAGCTAGCATCTTAAAAAATGACTAATACAATAAGAAAGGTATTATAAATGAGGCTGTCTGTACTACAAGAGAATAGAAAGGGATGATGAGCTTATTTTTAGCTGCTAGACAATATCAATTACATCTAATTTTCCCACAGGATCCCCTGTAACTATGCCTTCCTGAATACCTTGCATGTCTTTCTCATAGGGGATGCCAGAGCAGTGGGCCCGCTTGCTTCAGACATCAAATATCACTAAGTCAGAGCAGAAGAAAAACCCACAGGCTGTTCTGGATGTTTTAGAATTTTACAACTCAAAGAAGACCTCAAACAGCCAGAAGTACATGAGCTTTACAGGTAAGAGGATTGTGTCCAGGGCAGTCAAGGAAAGGAAGGTTTTAGTCTGTGTGGAAAAGCTCCACATGCATATTGGTCTGGAAAGAAAGAAGAAAGTGGAAAGAGTGGAGGTGACATGCTCACTGAGAAGGAATTTGGAATTTGACAACCAAGGTGATGGGTCTTTACATTAAATATGCCTATTCTGAAGCTGCACTTTTTTGTTTGTTTGTTTTTTGAGACAGGGTCTCACTATGTAGTTGAGACTGACCTGAAACTCACTATGTAGCCCAGGCTGGTCTCGAACTCACAGTGATCCTCCTGCCTGAGCCTCCTGAGTGCTGGCATTACAGGTGTGTGCCACCATGCCTGGCTTGCACATTTTTTTTAATAGCATGTATTGTAGAGAAAGAACATGGGCTTTGTACTAGAAAGTCTAGATTCTGATATTGTTAGGTTGAAAGAGTCACAGTTGCACTTTGGGCCTCAAAATGGGATTAATATTTCCTATCTTAAGAGTGGTAAGAATAAATGAGCTCACTGCTGTGAAAGTTTTCTGTGGGTTGTAAAACAGCATCATGCAAATATGATTATTGTTACCATTATTTTAAATATCATTATTACTTAGTAATATTACTGTATATCTTTTAAATCAGCAAGCCCATTTCCTTCTTTAGAGGACCAATTTTTATTAGTCAAATGAAAATCAAACTAGTAATATAAATGTACTTTAGATATACTCTATGTACCTGTTTTTCAGAGTGTTTTGTTATTGTTGATTTCTTTGTTTTTTTGTGGCACTAAGGATTGAACCCAGGGCCTTTGCACACTGAGCTGTGTCTCCAGCCCTTTTTTATTTTTATTTTGAGACAAAGTCTTACTAAATTGCCCAGGCTGGACTCAAATAGGCAGGTACCACCATGCCCAACTCCAGAGTTTTTAAATGGAAGAATTGGAATTAGAGTCCAGGTCTTCTAATTCCTAGGGTAGCATCTTTTGAATTTACTACTTGCCTACAGTAATTTTATTAGAGCACCTCCTTTCTCAATAGAGGAATTTTTCCCCCTACGATAACTTATGAGAGCCTTCTATTTCTGGGAACTTTTCTTTTATGTAGCATCTTAGGACGTTAGAACAGAAAGTACTTAGCATGCACCAGCTGCCCTTTGTTTTGCAATCATGAAAGCCAAGGAAGGCTGAGTGTGCTGGCACACACCTGTAATCCAGCACTGGAGTGGCTGAGAGGTAGGAGGATCACTGAGTTCAAGGCCAGCCTGAACTACATACAGCCTGCCTCAAAAAACAAAAACAAATCCAAAGGAAAAAAAAAAAAAAACACACACACACACACAAACAAGCAAAAAGCCAAAGAAGACCTTTGTAACGTGGCTTGGTTGCAGTTTAGTCTCTCATTTCCCAGTCCTGTGCTCTTTGCTTCTGTCACCTCCTTCAAAGGGTGATACTGTTGGGAAAGAAAAGGTGAGAAGTGGAATGAAATAGCTGATTTTGAAGGATGCTTTCCCCCAGCAGTATCTGGCTTGTATCAGAGGGTACAGATGGTAGGGATGACAGACTGCAGCTTTGCTCATGCTGCCATGGTGGTGCCCAGGAGGGCCATGCATCTTCCCGCTGGGTCTGTTTCACTTCTTCCATTGAGGGACTAGATCATTCCAAGGAGAAATTGAGGTGCAGGAAAGTTTTCTCCTAGTCAGGAAATTAGAACTTATATTTAAGGCGTTTATCATGAAGATGCCACATTAGAAACTGTTCTTGAAAGCCTCAGTAGTGAATTCTTTAGAATCTGTTTGTTTTCTGCATGCAGGCACATAGACATATGCAAGTGGCATTTATGCATTTATGTGGGTTTGCATATGTTTAAAATTGTAGTCACCTCAAGCATCACGAATGAATATGTGCATAGATATATATATTCAAGTAATTTAATATATGTTCATTTGTGCATGTATAGATGTAAATGTACATACATTTACTTTTGTGTGTATATACTTAATACATGCATGTATATATGTTTGTACAGGATTTTGAATTTTCTAGATGTTGAAGACAAGGGCAAACTCTAAGCAGAATTCTATACTGGCACAGTTTCTTTCCTTTTCTTTTCTTTTTTTTTGTGATACCAGTAATCAAACTCAGGACTTTGTGCCTGCAAAGCAGGTGCAGTGCCATTGAGCTAAATCCCTAGCCCTGGCATAGTTTATATTTTAAGATCATAATTCTCCTTTCTCTGTTTCTCTGCTTCACATTACTGTTAGTAATGGTAATCCTAACTCAATTTGTATATTTGCTCACACATGAATTATCTCATGTGATTCTCATAATGAATGGCCTTGGGGGATTGACAGGGCAAGAGGTATTATCTTCATTTGCAAACTCAAGTTAATTAGGCTTAGACAAAATAAATGTCACCTTATGTAAGGTGACTCAGCTAATATGTAATGGGAATTGTTTTAAACTTAGGTCTTTAAACCCTGTGCCATCTATAACCCAGGAACAACTTTATGTCATTTTTGGGGGTCAAATTCTCTGTTTTTCAATACTTGATTTTCTGTATCAGTTAGTAGCTAATGTATTAGGGGAAAAAGTAGACTGGATTGTAGTTCTCTTTTGTCACTGATTCATGTGCCCTTAAGCCAGCCCTTTCTGAATCTCACTGTCCTCGTTGTAAAATGAAAGAGTTGACAGTACTTTCTGTCCTGTCAGCTGTGCTTTGGAATTTGATTTGGTTATATAGAAATGTACATCATCATCAAATGGAGCAATGCTTACTGTTTTTAAATATGTAAGAGAAATGTTTATAATCATAATACTCCATCCTCAAAGATATTAGCAATATAAAAGATTAGGGGTAGTGCAGTGAAGGGGTAGTGTTATATGCTGTCTGCCTGATGCTCAGATAAGAAACACAGATTATCTTTAAATTATATCCTGAATTGATATATCCAGGGCACAGCTGGCTATTCAGGGTCTTTTTAAAGAGCATATTGTTGAAACTTATCTTATTTCCTGTCTTGTGGATTTTTTTGTTTGCTATAGAGCCAGCACTTGCTTATATGATGAAATTGGGCTCTTTGACATTATCTGGACTTGGTTCTTATTGAAAAATATATTAAATTTATTAGAATAGTTTTTACTCCTTAATTCCAGTGGTGATAAGCTGGCAAGGCAGTTTCTTTTTGGACCCTTAGGAACTAAAGAACAAAACCAGTTTTTAAGTTTATATTTTTGCTAGGATCGGCTTCATATTCCATTAAACCCAAGTTATCACTGTAAGATGCACCATTTTTTTAATACAGCACCTAAGAAAAAACACTCTCTCAAATCATAAACTGCTTTAATTATAGGACCCATCTCTAGTTTAGAACTGTTACTGTGAAAAAAAATGTACATCAAGTGTTCATTGAAAGTATTTGATTCTGTTCCTTTTTTTTTTTTTTCTGGTACTGGGGATCAAACTCAGTACCTTGCGCTGCAAAGCAGATGTGGCGCCACTCAGCTGAATCCTCACTCCGGACATTTGATTCTATTCTTACGTAACAAGCTCCTACCTTGCATTAGACTTCATATGGTTAATAACTTTTTTCTTAAGTCTTCATCTTTCTGTCTCTATAGGGACTAAGCATGGATGTAGAAGGAGCCTTTCTTCTTTTTTAAGTACCAGGGACTGACCACAAAGCCTTTGTATTGAACTATATCCCCAATTCCTCCTTCCTTTTTTGAGACAGGATCTTTCTAAGTCACTAAGTTGTCCAGGCTGGACTTGGACTTGTGAGCAGTTTCCCAGTGTGCTGGGGTTATAGGAGTATACCACTGTGCCTGACTTACAAAGATCATTTTTATTAAGAAAGCTGAAGCTACAGGTTGGCCATGATTTTGTATGGATGGCTCAGGACTGTGCCATGGAGTCTTAACCTTTCTCTTAGAACGCAGGAAATTTCCTTGAGTATTGAAAATCAAAACATGATGATCTATCTGATGATGTGGAAACAGTTGCAGCATGGTATTTAGAATTATGAATCATAATTTAGGTCTTGAATCCTGTGGTTAACATATGTTCCTGGGAAAATTACTTCTTTGAACTATAAAATCTATGAATAAATTGTGCATTGTATTACATGCCTGCAATCCTAACTAATCAGGAGGTTGAAGCAGGAGGATTCTAAATTTGAGACTTAAGGAGACTCTCAAAATAAGGACTGGGAATGTGGTTTAGTGATAGACTACTTATCTAGCATAAGCAAGACCCTGGGTTCAATCCCTAGTACCAGAAGTTAGAAAAATTGTGAGAGTAATAATAATGCTCCTATCTCTTGTAAGGACTAACGGAGATAATGATATATATAATTGGCTTAACATGGTATATGGTGCTTAGTACCAGTTATACTATTATTATTGTCTGAACTGGGAATTGTTTGACCAAGTAGACTTCCTTAGCTTTCCAGAAGGGATTGACTCTGAGTATTTACTGCAAGTTTGAGGCCAGCCTAGGGAATAGAGTGAGTTGAAGGCCAGCCAGAACTACAGATCAAGGCTGTCGCAGAAAAACAAAACAAAACAAAGGATTGACTCTTAATTGTTACTAAATTCTTCATCTTTCTTTCTTTGCAGATAAATCAGCAGAAGATTATAATTCTTCTAACACTTTGGTAAGTCTGTTTACTGTATTCTGAGATGAACAGGTATGAAAGTAAGGATCAGGATAGTGTTGTAGAGACAGACCCTGGGCTGGGAGGCACTCAGCTTTTAGTCTTAGCATGTTGCCCTCAGGGTCCCTATCTATATCATAAAGGAATTGGACTAAACACATTGTATCCTTTCCAGATGTTCTAGAAAGCCTAACCTTGGAACTAGAAAACATGCTTCTGTGCTTTTCATTTGTAGCTTTGAATATTTGGAAAGCCAGTTTGCCTTTATGAGCTTCAAATTGTTCATTAGTAAGTTGAGGATGATATACTCTGTCTTATCTAGGCCTGTCTTCAGTCATCTGAATTTAGAGGAGAATTTTCTCTCTTTCATAAATTGGGTCTACAAGACCAATTGTTGGAAGGAGCAAATTCTGTTCGTTAAAGGTCATTCATTCTGCCCCCTCACATAGTGCTGCCCTGTAACTTGAAGAGATGTTATAGGAATCATCAAAGAATTGGCTGGTTAATAAAACTAGATGACCTCAAAGATCCCTCTGTCTCTTTCAACTTATAAATTCTACTTTCTAGGCCAAGTAAGAGTACACAATGAGATTTTGATGTATTTGAAAAGGTCTTCAGATAGCAAAATATAACACACATAAGAGAATACTGCTATTCTTTACATCTGATGTTCTTAAAAAAAGATGGTTGTGCTGTATTTATTTATTAAACATTTGCAAAAGCCCCTTCTGTATGCCAGTACTGAGAAGTGGGACAGAGATGATCAGACATTGTCCTAATGCCTAAGAACCTCCCAGGTTTATGGATGATACAAAGGCACAAATAAACAGCTATATTTCAGCATGGTATACTTTTTTCCCCCCTGTACTGGGGATCAAACTCAGGACCTTGCACTTTCCAGGCAAGTGCAGTACCACTGAGCTACATCCCCAGCCCTTTTTATGTGTTCTCCTCTCCACCTGGTCCTGGGAATTGGACTCAGGACCTTGCGCGTGCATGCTAAACTTCCCAAAACTATGCCAGACCTGCTAATTGCTGTATCTTTGGCATCTGGCAAATTTTGGCATTCATCGAACATTTATTGAATGTAAGATTGGATGTGTCAGGGAAAGCTTCTTGAAGACACAGTCTACGTTGAATGAATTAGTTATCTGGGGAAAGAATTAAGGAGATGGAGGGTATTTCAGCAGAAGGAGAATTTCATGTGTTTGCCCAGGCAAGGAGGCTCACAAAGTATGCCTGTGAAGGAACTGCAAGTAGCTTGAAATGACTGGAATGTAAACTGTGAATAGTGTAGAGGAGGGTGATGAGGAAGAGTGATAAGTTAGACAAATTGTGTAGAAGTTTGACTCTATCTTCAAGGTAACAAGGAGCCTAAATAATTATAAACAGGAAAATAGTAAGGTCTAAGGCAATACTGACTCACAATCAAAATACTTTGTACTGTACCATTCTGCTATTGTTGGGGATTGGTTTACTCTGAGTCGTTTATACTCTTACCAATTATAAAAACTGGTTCACATGTTCATTACCTTGCAGCACATTGGATCCTTTCTTAACTGTCTCTTTTAACCATCACAGCAGCTTAATAAGATAGGGTTATTACTCTTGTTTTATAGATGATAAAATTGAAGCAGAAAAGGGTTAATGTCATAGGTGTGTGATTCCTACTCTGCACTGCCTTCCCGATTCATGCTGCCTTCCACCAAATGGAAGGGCTGTGATTAAAAGGGGGAAGAATTTGCAAATATTAAATATTTGAACAGAAAATTATTGAAGAAAGGGCAAAAGCAAAGTTGTTATGCCTTGTGGTTCAGATGTCATGCTTTTGTAGGAAGAGTGACAGCTATAATTTATTGAGAGTCTGTTCTGCCAGTATTAAGTACTTTACATATGTTAGCATAATACTCCTCACATTTATCTTAAGGAAATACCATCCCCAATTTACAGGTAGAAAAACAAGCTTTCCTAAAGACTTATAATTAGATCCATATTAAAACTAGAGTCTTCTGAACCTCATCTCAGTTTTTTTTTTCACTGTAGCAGGGAACAGAGAAAGGTATCAAGAGGTCTTATAAAGGAGACTGCAGTAAAGTCACAGCTATGTTGTTTGTTAGTGCACAGGAAGAGCCCTGGGGCTCATGCCATATGGCAGAGAGGATGACACCTGCTTGGTAAAACCCTGTACTGATTTAATATCTACAAATAAAACCATCCAGCTGTCAAGGACATTTTTCTTCTCTAATTCAGAATATTTGTTCCTTAACTCATTGCTTTATATTTTCTTCCTAGTTTTACAGGTAGGATATGATTTTATTTTATTTTTATTGTCTGTCATTGTTTTCTATATTGGGTTCACATGGATCATTCTACTTGATTTGTGAAATAATCAGAGGATTGTTATTTCCATAGTTGAAATTAAGAAATTGTGACTCAGAAAGATTAACTGACGTGCTTCCTGTTCTTTAGTTAGTACAAATGAGTACAGAATTCCATTCTGAGCATTCATTTATTTACTCACACTGTAAATATTTCCTTAGTACTTTTTTTTAATGCTAAGTATAGGTTACACAAAAATGAAAGTACACTACCTTGGACCTTGAGAAAAAAAATCAGTAACAGCCTAGGGAGATTAGAGCAGCGAGAAAGGGGAATATGAACATTGTGCAGTGGATATGAATTTATCACTTTTGATGGAGTGATTTATTCTACCTGGTGTTACAGGGAAGCTTGCACAAAGTTACTGGGATATAAAGTTTTGTTTTAATTTTTATTCATTTATTTATTTATTTATCTATTTTTCATTGAGTTTATTGGTATATTTTAGGTATACAGTACAGTGGCATTCATCATTGGGATCTTGTACCTTTACACGATGTATCTTGGTTCTTATTTTTTCCCCCTACCCCTGCACTCCCTTCACCCCCACCACCTTTCCCTATTTACAAAGACTTTGCTTCCATTTTTTCCTTTTCTCATATTTTTTTCTTTTCCCTTGTTTCTTGTTTCGTGCTCTTTCCACTTCCCCTATTCCTTTAGCCCTTTCCTTCCTATTTCACATTATTAATTATACAATTTGAATTTTATTTATGCTTTTAGTTTTTCACATCACAGAAACTTCTGTATTTACACATGTGTCCTATTTATTTCACTTAAGAGGATGCCCTTAATATGCATTCATTTTCCTATGAATGACTCTAGTTTCTCATTCTTTATGTCTGAGTAGTATTCCATTTTATAGAAAAAACACATCTTCTTTATCTAGTCCCCAGTTGATGGGCATTTGGGCTGTTTCTATATCTTAGCTAATACAAACTGTGCTGCTATAAACATGGGTGAGCATATATCGCTGTGGTATGATTCTTTTAATTCTTTTGGAAAGATACCCAGCAGAGGAATAGCTGGGTCAAACAGGATCTCTAATCCTAGTTCTTGGAGGTATCTCCATATTGGTTGTACCAGTCTACACTCTCACCGACAATGGAGAAGGATTCCTTTCTCCCTACAACCCTGCCAGCATTTGTTACTGGTTGATTTCTTGATAGCAGCCATTCTTACTGGGGTGAGGTGGAATCTCAGTGTTGTTTTCATCTGCATCTCTCGAATGACCAGTGATGTGGAACACTTTTTCATATATTTATTTCCTGCTTTTACTTCTTTGTCTGAGAAATGTCTGTTCATTTCAGATGCCTATTTTTGAATTGGGTCTTTATATTTGAAGGGTCTGATTTTTTAAAGTTATTTATATATTCAAGATAGTAGTGCTTTGTTTGAGGAACAGCTGATAAAATTTTTTCCCACATTGTAGGTTGTCTCTTATCTCTGTTGATGGTTTCTCTTGCAGTATGGAAGCTTTTTAATAAGACGAGGTCCCAGTTGTTGATTCTTTGTGCTAGTTCCCGTGCTACTGAGGTTTTGTTCATAAAGTCGTTTCCTATCCCAGTGTCTTCAAGAATTTTACCTAACTTATCTTCCAGCAAGTTTAGTTTTTCTGTTTTGATATTTAGATCTTTAATTCACTTGGATTTTAGTTTAGTGCGTGGTGAAAGGTAGGGGTCTAGTTTTAATCTTTGGCAGGTTGAAATCCAGTTTTCCAACACTAAAGAGGCTATCTCTCCTCCGATGAGGATGATTAGCTTTTTTGTCAAAGAAGAGGTAGCTGAGTGTGTCTGGAATTGTTTCTTCATCTTCTAATCTATTCCACTGATCCTCCTGTCTCTTTCATGCTGTTTTTATCACAGTGGCTTTGTAGTATAGTTTGAAGTTGAGGATTGTGATACCTCCTGTCATGTCTCTGTTGCCTAAGAATTGCTTTTGCTATTCTAGGTCTCTTCTGATTCCAAATGAATTTTTGGATTCTTTTCTCTAGTTCTGTGAAATATACTGTTGGAATTTTAATTGGAATTGCATTGAATCTAGATAGCAGTTTTAGGACGTATGGCCATTTTCACTGTTGGTTTTTCCTACCCAGGAACAAGTGATAACTTTCCATTTTCTGATACACTCTTCAATGTCCTTTTTCAGAGTGCCATAATTCTCAATGTAGAGTTCTTTTGCTTGCTTCGTTAGATTGATTCCCAGATATTTCAATTTTTTGGATACTATCATGAAAGGAATTGTTTCCCTAATTCTCTTAATGGGTGTTATTTGTGTACAAGAAGGTTATTAATGTTTGAGTGTTGGCTTTATATCCAGCTACTCTGCTGAATCTGTCATTTAAGTCTAGAAGTGTTTTGGCAGAGTTTTTTGGATCTTTTATGTAGAGTATCATATCACCAGCAAATAATGCCAGTTTAATTTTTTCTTTTCCTGTCTTTATTCCTTTAATTTCTTTGTTTTGTCTAATTGTTGTGGCTAATGTTTCCAGAACTATATTGAACGGAAGTGGTGATAGTGGATAACCTTATCTTGTTCCTGATTTTAAGGTGAAAGTTTGCAGTTTTTGACCATTTAGTATGGTGTTGGCTATTGGTTTTTCATAGATAGCCTTTATCAGGTTG